CCGGAATGACCCTGCGTTTTCCACCTTTACCATGTTCACTTGACTCACATCTGACGAGTGCTTCAGGCTCTGGTCGCCCGGCGAATAGTAAGTTACCTTCAATTGGTGTTCACTTTCGATTCGGATATGTGTGTACTTTTTGTGGCCAAACTGCCCGATTTTCTCCACACCTCCTGCGTTCTTGTTACGCTTATCGCAGCATCCGCTGATAGTGACGGGACGAACAGGTAAGAATAGGTGAGATGTACAGTAACAACGTGAATCAATGAACGATATTGCTCAGTTTTTCTTTGTACTTACAACCTGATGGCCATCATCGTGGTCTAACCATTTCGTAATAATGCGATAACGTTCTCAAAGCTTTCGCCACAAGGTAACAGGCTAGATAACTTTAGGGCTGTCGGACCGCCTATACTCAAACAGGTATTGTCGAGATAACGGTTTCCCAAGCTTGTCACTGTATGCCTAATACGGCGTTATTATCGCGAAATTTTTCCAACTTCACCCTTTTTAGATCTTGTTTAATGATTTTTCACTGGATGATTTTCGACTGTTTAAATGGGTAATACCGGCCTACAGCTTTGATAGACTCACTGTTATTTTATTTTAAGGATGATGAAAAGGGTTGTGAACAGTAAAAAATGTCTCAGCTGTGGTACCCATCAGTAGTTATTCATATACCTATGCAAAATATCAAAGTTTTGTGTAACAATTGTAGGCCAATTAGTCTTGCTTTTGTTGTTTTTACAACTCTGATGTTGTATCGATTTCTCAACTTCACTGGAAGTGAAACGTCAGATACACAACATGAGTTCTCTTTCCGATTACAAGCGTACTGATTATACTTTCACCGTTCGTCAAATATTAGGGTGAAAGTTTTCATTTAACCAGGCAGACACATTTACATCGATTTGGCTGCTTGATGCTTTTCGCAGAATTCTTACCTACGTTCGATTGTCATATAACAAATAACTTGACGCTTTTGGAACAGCTCCGTCGAACACTCGAGTGACCTTCATTACAAATATTGACGTCTCTTATTGTTCACCTTTATCGTAATTAACGTTATGTAGTGTGCAAATTAATTGTTTGTTGACCCGCATTTTTTTTAACAATACCTTATTCATGTGTAGAAGTATCATTCTTGTAATAGCACATCAAGCACTAAACCAAGTGTTTGATATCCATATGTTTATTTTGCGTTCCACGAAGTCGTCATTGATTTGGGTTGATATACGTCGAGCTTAAAAATCCCTGGGAGTGTGAAAGCTGTAGTCAGTTGTGAGTGATGCCCAGTTTAGGTTTTAGTTTTGTAAGTGTCATTAAATTGATAGCAAAATGCATCCGCAGTGATTGTAATGTCGACAATGTTTTATGGTTCTACTGTTTTTTCTTATACCTCAGCGTGTAATATTCACTTGCTGTTAAATGCTAAATAATCTTTTTCCGGAGTTCATATAGGTTTGCGAATTTTGGGTACTGAAAAGTTTAGGAAACTTAAGAACTGTGAACAGATACTATGCGTATACTTTGTTTGTTTTATATTGTGGTACATTTTGAGACTTACTTTCAACTTTGATTGTTATATCAAAACTAAAGTTTTTAATTAATCATCTCTTGTATAATAGCAGATCGAGTTAATGAAGGAAAACTGCCGTGTTCTGTTTGGTTGTTTTTTCAGAATGTACGCTGAATTCAAAAGTTCCGACTGCATATTAGAACACTTTTGATTAACTATTCCACCAGTGTATGGTTGGTAAAACGATCACTGTTAAGTGTGACTTTCTTGCCTACAAAGTGACTGCTTTCGAAGTCTTAAAGAAAAAGCGTTTAGTTATAGGACGGCTCATTTATCATGCAGACTGGTGGTGATGTCCCTCCGGTTTCTACCATCAACCGTCTGCTCCAGTACACACTCAGCGTCAGAATCAAATGTCATGGCAACCGGGCTATTCAAACTGTCTATCTAGCGAGCCTAAACAAAGCAAGAGCGGTCGGCTTGAGAGTAGGCATCGTGAACCATTATAATCACCCTTACAGCCGTAGCCGAGATACTAATTGCTTTCCAACTGAATTTTATATCATCAGAGCAGAAGGAAAACATGTTACAATATGTTAATATTTCATCTGCTCTCATCAGTCGTCAACGTAAAAGACGCCAGTTAGATACGTCGTATAGATAAGGACAAACATGGACTAGACACACCGACAAGCACGCGAAGTATTTTATAGTCAAGACTATAGCAACCCGATAGGTTGCCTCGGCCACTTTTATGTACATAACGTCTGCTGCCAAGTTCAGGCAAGCATCGCCTTGCAGAAAGTCAGTAACTTCGGATGCTAATTGTGCAACGGTATCTTAAATGAGTTTTCTGAGTCAGCTGACCTGTTGTCATGACGTGTTTAACGTTGAGTTTCGAACAGTCAGTTCACCAGGTTGTATGAAGTTTTACACCACTAAATGACACACAAAATCGACTAAAATGAGTAGAATATCTGTAATAGAACTCCTATCTGTGATAGTTCAAATGTTCGCTGACAAATAGTGCTGTCTAAATTGGACATTCCTCGCAACCAATGGCAGTTGTCGCATTCTCATAGACTCCAGTCACCCCTGTTGGAAAAGAAGCTCTTGTTTGTAATGCTTCATGCTCCTTCTCATACGAACACATCACAAGTCGTTTCGTCTTTGTTTAGACGAATCATGTAGAGGTAGTCTGACTGGGGGACCGAACCGACCACCTTCCGCGTCATAAATCCATGCATTTGTCTGCACGGCCACCGGCTCTACAAGCACCGCTTGTGACAGGGGAAATTGTTGTTGTTTTGTCCATCAGTCGGTCTATACTCTAATGTGAACCGTTTCCACTAATAAACTTTGGAATGAGAATGCCCCAGCCTTAAGGCTGTTCTTTGCATCTTGGAGGTATCATACATGTTCTATGCAATTCAGTCCAGTCATTCGTCTTGTTCAACCTGATCCACATACATCCGGCAAAGGGATTAAACGGGATTATTTCATCCTCATGCTCTTTGTCAGTCGGCTCAGTAACCGGTGGGTAAAATTCTTTTAATACACTTTCTAAGACGTCTCTGACAAAATTAAACAAGGTGAGAGTTTGGGCGCCGCCGACGAACCTCAGTGAAAATGATGAACATTCAAAACATTCGCCCGTAAACCATCATTTTATTTATAAAGTGAGCATACCGATTCAGAAAGTTCTCTGGGATTCCATTGTGATGCACACAGTTCCAGAACCCGTTGCCAGCAGCCGAATAGAAGACTGTCTTTTGGTGCAAGAAAAACAACCTAAGATTGTTGGCTACTCGTAATTTTATCGACGTTTCAAGAGATGTCGTGGAGTTAAGTGTTGATGATCAAATAGAATGCTGCGTATTTCAGCTCATAACGTGTACCCATCTCCGGTAATTAAAATCACCTTCGTTTTCCACTGTAACTCCAGCTCTCTGATTTGTTTGCCCTCAATGTATTTGTGTCTCGCGAAACATTTCCGCATTACCGATTAATTCACTTTCGTAATGCGATCACTGATGTGGCCGGTATTATTCGAACCGTGAGAGTCGTCATTCTTCTGCCGGGCATAGTCAAACAGCTGCGAAAAGTATGAAAATTTTGAAGGCGTTCAAAGTAAACGCATTGACAATCGGATTTGATTGCACAGTAGCATGACTGATGCTTTACGGATTCTCCTGCTGGTGAAATTCGGTTAAAGCAGTGAGCTTTCATATTGGTCATCTTGTTTCGACGCGCTTCGTTTCCGGGGTCTTTCGCTAAAATTGACATGCTACCAGCCATATATACATAGACAGGGTGATCACGAAAAGCAATAAAGTGTGGCACTGGCTTAGTGGGGTATCGAGAAAAGACGTAAATCCCATAGTACTCATAATGCTGATGGTGACCCAAAAAGCCTGGTCGACTGTGCTGCATTCTCATCGTGTGTGATGAACGAACGTTAGCCGTGTATCAGACACAATACATCCGAATGAGAGCTCCCCAGAGTTGAATCTGCCAAATTTCCTTTCTCAATCGCATCTGAAGTCCGTGGTACATCGTATAACTTTCAAAACCTTTATAGAACTGAAACAAAAAGTTCAACATATGTGTCCAGAGGCAGGTATCGTATCTAACATTACGCCACCGTGCAGATGGGAAGACTGTGGACACCTTCCCCATCTTGTACGATTGGAATGTGTGCAGCTAAATAATCACAGTGCACATGAAAAGTTGTTGCTTTATCAGTTTTCTTGCGATGTTTCAATCCACTAATCAGGACCTTGTGAGGTATGTCAGGCCACAATGAGAATGCATCCTGACCCTGTCTAACGGCCTGCGCATCTCCCTGACCTATTGGGCTAAATTGGACTGTGTGATGATCACACTGACAGTCATTAATGTTAAGCGGGTCAATAAATAAAAATCTGATCAACCGCAGTCCCTTGGACTCCCAGTTTAGGATTTGACAGGAGGCTGACGTCTTTTTAAGAAAGTACTAGCTCTATTGCACTGCCACCCACTCGCTGCCTTGCGGTTCAGGGTTTTGAGCCAAAAGCTTTGGTTTAATATCCTAATCGTTCTCCTAATGGGTCTGGATGTCTTGACAGTATATCAGTCCACATACAACCATGAACAATCACCAAACCATTAATTCTATACTGCATCGGCTGTCTCGCAGTATAAACCGGGTCGCCCTACCTACTGCATACATTAGGTTGGACAGACGAAAACGTGCTACCGTGGACCCCTCCCTCAATGCTCTATCAGTCTCAGCTCTCAGGCCTTCCCGATCATCATTTACAATTTCACAATAGATATAACGAATCATAGTAACACTGTCCCGGTAAGTTCATTCTCTTACTATTGAGCCTTCGTTCTTTGTTTATACCTAAAGTACGAATTAATGTGGGTGCTTTCAAAGTTCGCACTCTGAAACAAACTGATTTTGATTACTTAGAAGAGCCCCAACCGCAAAAAATTGGGACTTAGGCTGGATTTGAACCAGCAACGGAAACAGCATGCTCACACACGGCTAGTGCTCCTCCGAGTGAGCTACAAAGCCACCCCAAAAATTCAGAAATTTCATATTTAGACTCAGTTGCTCATCCAGTCCACTGTCTTATATGGAATTCACCAAGTGGTACAGCAGATTGACTGTCCAGCGGCACCGATGAGCATTGAAACCATACTGCTGCTTTGTAGTTTAGCAGTTTTGGTGTTTTAAAAAAGACTCAGTTGCAAAAACTCCGGACTTAGGCTCCATTCACACCCGCGACATATGCAACATGCCCTGACGTAGTGTGTGCTTCAGCAGCTGAGTTGCGAAGCCACGTTGGAAAATCAGAAATTACGAATTTGGACTCCTTTTGATTATGCTGACAGCAAGGTGTTTGACAATTTCTAATCAGCGCAGACATTGCTGGCCGCAATTTTGCGCCTTGCTAGGTGTTTCCTAATGCGCTTTGAGGCCTCACAGTGCGGTGTTTCTGTAGACTACTGTGATTACATGAATAGTGTTGCGTAATAAGGTTTTTGGAATCGATTGACTGGCTTCTGTATTTCGGTAAGTTGCACCAGCTACGGTGTACATATTGGGTATGAAATAGAAGCCCCCGTCTTATAGGCTAGAGCGGTGTTCGCCAATCTGACACACTTCTGACGACATAGAGGTATCTTTCTCAAGTCTATAGGTTGCTTGTATAAAGCGACTGTGAGTGCTTTATTATTTTTCGGCAGTAAAACATGGCTGTTCAGAGTAGAAGGCGTGAATTGTCTTCAGGCATTTGATCACTGCTGTTTGCGTTCGATTGCTTGTATCGGATCGTACCAACGGGTTGGGAAGCGGATATTTGGTAATGAGTGCCAAACGAATTCTTTCGTTCAATCTTTAAGTTTGCACATGATTAGGTGTTTAGGTTATGAACTCAGGATGCCAGCTAGTCGGCTGCCACACCGAGTAGCGTGCCGTTTCTGCGGTCATCTGGCGTAGGGTACGAGGTAGCCAAATTATGACCTGGCGTAAAGAAATAAAGACTTTTACCAGCTGTTCGGCCACCTATAAGATCGGTGGTTGTTTGTGAAGTAAGGATAGCATTGACATTGAACAATTAAAGCAAAGGGGACGACTTGTGACATATCGTTTTCCCGAACAAGTCTTCGTCTGTTGTTTGCGCACTCTTTCTCCAAATGTTAAACCAGTCTGATTGTCGATGTTTTCCTTCTCGAGGGCCATTTGAAGGCTACTTGGAAGTTCCAAAAAAGTAAACGAAGAACATCTTGTAGTTGAAATTCTTTTTGTATTGACCCATGAACTGAACGGCTTTGTTATGCGAGCATCATACCTTTCCGTAGTATAGCCTATCGAAGAAGGCTTCAGTTAGTTTAAGCACACGAATCCCCCAAAATCATTTTCCTAGTCATTTTATTCGAAAAGTTTGTTTTTGGAATACTTACCGTCCCAGTTTCATCTGATCGAATTATCTTTTTTTTGACATTGGCATCTTTTGTTTTCATTCTGTGGAATAGCATTATAACAGACCGCAACATTTGATTACGCCACCTGTGCTCGGCAGTGCATTAACTTTGTAAGGACCTTTTTCCTGACTCATACTGCTACCTTGACGAGATGGTCAGGCTTGTGTGCTGTTTTGATCTGGCGGACTATGCTGACTAGGACCCTGGCCCTTCCAGGTGCAACCTTGTTAGACGGGTCAAAGGGAAGAATTCAGACGAAAAACAGATGCACTCATAGGATTGTATTTGGCACTACTGACTGGAGCACGATCCTATGGGCATACAGCAGAACTCTTTTTATGGTTGCGGCACTGCTGTCCTCCGTATCAGAAAGAAGGGGGTTAGAAAAGGTACCCTCAAACAAAGCACTCCGATCGCCCTG